TGTACAAAAACTTAATACTGGCCATTTTTTCTGACAAAAGAAAAGGTAAGAAAAAATAGAGGGAGAGAAGACGGTGGAGATGATGGGCAGAGGACAGGGATGGTGGAGTACTTATGGGGGAGGGGTAGGGACTGGGGAGTAATTGCGCAAATGAAATTAAAAATTATTGTTGGGGTATTTTATTTAAGAGTATTAAAGGCTGAAAATCTGAGGAAAATTAAGAAGTAAATATTCTCGGTCGGAAAAGGAGTACGAGCTCGTACAGAAAAAAGAGACGGAATCGGGAGTTGAGGCGTGATGAGCGGCTGTGATTGGATTTTAAATATCGGGTGCGGCCCGGGGGATTCGGATTTGTTAACTGTAGCCGTTAATGAGGCAACCAACTAGAAGCCAACGAGAATTCGACGTGGAGTGCGGGCCCCGCAGAGCTCCGTAATCGACGCTGCATTTAATTTTCGTGGGAAGTGCTTCGAAGTTTGACCGGCTCGGTGGACTAGGACACACCACGGGCCGGGCCGTCTCGAGCCACGCGCCAACTGTAATTAGGTGGTCTCCAACATGCCTACTTACTTTTTCTGTTTTTACTTTTTTACCCTTCATTTGTCTCGCTCTCTCTTGTCATTCATGCGCACGCATGCAGGGAATTTCTTCTCCATTTTCCACGAAAAAATAAATGAAAACTGTTGTGAGTTATTATTATGACATATACGACATACGTATCACTCAATTATAGACTGTGACAGCTCCATAAAAGTTTAGGTATGTACGTATATACGCTGCATTAAAAACATTATGCCGAAGTAAAAATCTTTTACATTTAATCGTAAGATATACCAGAAAAATAGATTTTGACTAATTAATGGGACTTAGAAGTTGGGATCTCTTGGAATATATCATAGTTGTATTATCATTTAAATATTATAATATTGTGTTGCAAGTCAATATTCGACTAAGTTTTAGTTGTTGAACAAAATTTTGAAATAGTAGCAATTCATAAAAATATATATTCTTTTAAGTTAATGATCTTAGGGACGATGAGTATAATAGCAATTTAATGAAGAAGAATATAACATTGAATTAATGTGTAAATATA